CCCCGCTCCCTTCCCAGGACTTGCTAATTATCTGCAGTTGGCAGGACCCACCACCAGGGGGCCCCGCCTCCTCCAGCCCCGACCTTGGGTTTCTCCACATCGAGGAAGCAGAGAGCAGGGGCTGATATGGTCATAAGACCCTACCGGCCAAGCCTCTACTCAAGCCCACGAGCTGAACAAGCTGAAAGGGGAAGAATTGTCCCCATTTCACAGCTGGGGCTCTGGGAGGGAAGGGACTTGCCCAGATCACAGAGCATAACAGTGGCCGAGCCAGGGTGGACCAGGGACTCTCTCCGGATACTGCCTCCCTCCCTGCTAAGGGCTAGAAACTGAGGGCAAATCCCACAGGCCTCAACGGTTCCAGCGCGGGGCCCCATGACTCTGTCACAGCCACATATCGGGTTGTCATCCTTATTCTCTGCTACCATGTCAGCCAGTCTCTGGGGCAGCAGTCTGGGAACCATATTAGCCCTTGATTCGGTGGGAGTTCACTGAGTGCCTCCCAGGTGCCAGGCACCTGGTCCTTGCCCAGGAGACTTACTGCCCAGACTCCTCTAAGCCTTGGCCCCTAAAGGGATAATATTGGTAAGGGCCTAGTTTGTGCCAGGCACTATTGAAGGCCCTGGGGGCACGGCAGTGATTAAAATCAACAAACGCCAGGGGCGTCTGGCTGGCTCAGTCAGTAGAGCATGCAACTCTTGGTCTCGGGGTTGTAAGTTCGAGCCCCGCGGTGGGCGTAGAGATTACTTTAAAATCTTTTAAACAAAAATCGGCAAAAACCATATTCTCCATGGAGCTTGTAGCCCGACGAGAGGAGAGAGGCAGCGGGCAGTGACCGTTTGTCAGATGGTGGTCAGTGACGTGGAGAACAGCCGGCAGGGAGGGGACTGGGGAGTGGGGGTGAGGAAAGGGCTCCAAAGACCCCAAGGCAGGAAGGAACGAAGCCACGCAGAGATGCGAGGGGCGTCCGCACGGCAGAGCCAGTGTGGAGGCTGAGGCCAGAGCATGCCGCCGCGTTCGGGGTGGTGGGGACGGTGGACGAGGACGGGCGGTAGAGGGTCTGAGTGAGTCGAGCAGACGGGACGCCCCCAGCCCCAGC